TAACCCGCTGCGCCACCAGGGAGGGCCCCCCCTTTTTTTTTAAACAAATATCTGCCCCATAATTTACTCAACCTAGCCCTATTGATGACCATTTCAATTTTTCTAATTTCCTCCCTTTGTGACTAAGCCTGTCCATATGACAATTCAAACATATGAAGAGAAATTCCAGAGATAGTTTTTTTAAAGGATTTATTTATTTATGCATACAGAACTGGGGTATGGGGTAGAGGTGCAGGGGAAGTGAGAGGATTCACAGAGACAGAGTGGGGAGCAGAACAGACAGATTGACTGAAATACACTGCTAAGGGAGCAGCAGGAGAGTCAGGAGAGGTCTGCCGCACCATGTGGGTCACTCCCTGGCCAGGGATCAAACTCGTGCTGCAATGGCAGCGGATAGCTTCATAGTGCTGCGCTTTAACCCCTTGTGCCACCCAGAAGGGCTCCTGTTTTTTATTTTAATAAAAATGTATTTAATCATTGAATGTCACATATTTATTGAAAAATCAGGTCCTAGTTTGTATCCAAGCAACTTAAAAGTGAAGGTTCTAACCTCTACGTTAGAGTTTGGATCCTTGCCTACACACACACACACCTGCATACCCAGGTTGCTTTCACCTAGTACTTTTTCACTCACTCAGGTACAATTATTGACTGAATGTCCACCATGAGCTACCTGTTAAAAATGGACAGCACAAAGGTAGGCTGCTCAGTGACCACAAGAGAAGGAAATGCAAAGGGCTGTCTGGCAGTTTGCCAGAGGAAAATGTTCCTCTGCTTTGTGGGATATTTGTTGTGTGCTTCTATGTGAGCTGATACTTTTTCCTATTTATACTTTTCCAACAGAGCTTTGGGTAGCATTAGAAGATAGGACTGACCTTAAACTCTTTTTTTTTTTTAAGGTTTATTTTTATTTATGTATGTACGCACGAACTGGGGTGTAGGCCAGAGGCTGGAGTATGTGTGAGAGGTTTCACCAGAGACAGAGTGGGGATACTGACTGAAATTCACTGCTGAGGGGAACAGGGATGGGACAGGAGAGGTCTGCCGCACTATGAGGGTCAGCTCCCTGGCTGGGATGGAACTAGGGAGGCTGCCCCTGACCTTAAATTCTTAATATTTCAAAGACAAGGAGCCACAAACCTGGGTGTTATTAATAGACGGAGAATTATTTAATATCGGCATAACAGGAACTTTGAACCAGCGGGAGAGAGACTTCTGAGGAGATTTGACCCACACCCTAAAGATCACATGGAAATAGGCGCTTAGCTAGAGAACCTTAAGAGTAAGATGGAAGCAGATGTTAGCTCATCTCCATCCTCATTCCCTATTACTCTAAAATGTGGGTTGTCATCATTGAGTCAAACAGCCCCTAGAAACAGCTGGCGTTTCAGTCTTTAAAAACGTTGCTCATTTGTTGGTGACAGTTTTCTGTGAGTGAGTGGACCCTGCATTGTGCAAAGTCTACAGAATCATCACATCCCAAACGTACTTGGCCACACTGGGTAGGAAGCAGGATGAAGTAACTACTGTAAGGTAGGGTAGTTTGAAGGGAGGAAGACTTGGTGTGGTGGGTTAAAAAGCAAGTCATTATTTCTTGTCTAAAGATTGAGACAGAAGCTAAAAACAAAACCAAAAAGCAAGCCATCACTTTGTTGATCAAAGTCCCACAGCTCTGATTAATTATTGGAAGAAGTCACTTAACTTTTTTTCCTATGGAGTCTGGAAAAGGGGGCAAGAGAGGTGCTTTGTGCTAAGCTCAGACGTCTCTAGCTAGTTTCTCTTGCCTGCTGGTACTTCCCGGATCACCTTGTTTGATCTCCAGAACCAACCACAAAGTTACATTCATTATTGTTGCTACTATCACCCAAGATAGAAACACAGACAGAGAGATGAAGTGGCTTACGAGGACACAGGGACAGGATGGGGCATCTACGTAATTTGTAGGGCCCCGCGTAAAGTGAGAATGTGGGTTCTTCCCCTTCCTTCAGCAGGTGGGCCATTCTCAAGGAACTGCAGCCTGTGCCAGGCCACAAACAATATCTGCTTGGGCGTGAGCCTGGCACTCTGGCCACTCAACTTGTGGTGGCACTGCCAGGTGCAGTGCACTGTGCAGGAATGCTGCTGTGTTACCCCTCAGAGACATGGAACAGGTGAGGGGGGCATTGTGCCAGACCCTGATCTTACTTTTTTTTTTTTAAATATTTATTCATTTATGAAAACAAGATTATGCATACCCCTGGTGTAGGCCAGGGGTACAGGGTGGGGGTGTGTGAAATGACTCACCAGAGGCAGAGTGGGGAACAGAACAGGCCGACTGACTGAAACACACTGCTGAGGGGTGCAGTGGGCAGGAGAGGTCTGCTCTGCCAGTACACTGGAGGGTACACTGGCTGTACCATACCAGGCTGGCTGGGGATGGAACCCAAGCGGCTGCCAATAGCTTGATAGAGCTGTCTTTGGCCCCTACACCACCAGGGAGGCCCTGATCTTACCTAGTCAGTGCCCTGGTATGCTCCAGTGAGGGGGTTGTGAAATCTGGACAAATGGCTTGTGTGGATAAAAAGAAAATTCTACTTTTTGCTTTATTGTAAAACAGAGGTAGAAAGTCTTCTTCTGGGGCCTCTCTGGTGGCACAAGGGTTAAAGCACAGCACTATGAAGCTATCTGCAGCCTCTGCAGCACCAGTTTGACCCCCAGGCCAGGGAGCTGACCCACAAGGCACTGCAGACCTCTCATGTCTCACCCACCACTCCCCTCATCAGTGTAGTTCAGTCAGCCTGCCTGTTCTGCTCCCCATTCTGTCTCTGGTGAATTCTCTCACCACCTCCTCACAACTCTAGCCTGTACCCCAGTTATTGTATACACAAATAAATTAATTAAAAAAAAAAAGTCTGCTTCTGTCCTGCCAGGCCATCTTTAGAGGTGGAGTCCTGTTCACTGTAAGAAACCTGGGGTAAGAAATAAAGGAGGTCCTCCCTGGTGGCGCAGTGGGTTAAAGCACAGCACTGAGTTCGATTCCCACCTGTCCCAGAGGTGACCACATGGCGAGGTAGACCTCTCCTGACCAGCTCGCTGCTCCCCTCAGCAGTGTACTTCTTAGATCTGCCTGTTCTGCTCCCCGCTCTGTCTCTGGTGAAGCCTCTCACGGCCCTCTGGCCTGTACCCCAGTTCTGTATGTGAAAATAAATGAATCTTTAAAAAAAATAAAATAAAGTATCAAAAAGTCCATGTAGACTGGATCCCAGTCATGTTTGCAAGTTGCAGGAAGAAGCAGCATGAGATAGTGGACTTACTGCTCCCTCACATCTATAAGGATCCTTGTAGAATAAGCGAGTCAAGTAACTTTAGGTTCTTACATGTTGCCAAACACAGAATGAACTAGCTCTGTAAGATCAGGGATTACTATGAAGTTACGAAAAATGTTTATCCTTTATCAGTTTACTAAATTTGTTAGAAATCAATTAGTTAATTGAAAATGTTGGAAATTTAAAAATGGCTTCTTTGTTAACAAACAAATAATTATGTATTCTTTCTGTATATGTCACTAACCAAAGTAAAACAATGTGCAAAAAATACCGCAAGTGGCAATCATTCAGAGAAATCAAATCTTGGCCTCCCAACCCTGATTCTCATTTTGACTCTGAATAGCCCCTTTAACACATTCTTTTAATCAATTTTGATTTGGTTTCCAAGCCGGGAGGATTTCAGTTGACACTTGCATCTCTTTTCTCATCTGAAAAACAGGTGGCCTCGGCGCTATTGTACGGGATATGTGTGGTTGTTGTTGTTTTTAATTTTTATTTTACTTACTTTTGCATGCATAGAGAAACTGGTGTAGGATACAGGTGCCAGGCAGGGGGTGAGAGGATTCACTAGACAGAGTGGAGAGCAGAACAGGTGGATCTACTGAAATACGCTGCAGTGGGAACAGCTTGCGAGGCAGGAGAGATCTGCTGTGCCATGCGGATCACCTCCCTCGCCCTGATAGGACTCAGACTGCAGCGGTGATAGCACTGAGACTTAACCCTTAAGACTACCCTTATGGCTAGTCTTAATGGTGACAACCTAATTTAAAAAAATGAATTTATTGCTTTCGGTTAGATTTTAGGTTTATTTGTAGTAGCCATTGATAGGACTGATAATGAAAAAGTTAACTACAAATACTAATTATTAGTTTTTCCACTGCACTAAATTTCTTGAGAACTGGAGAATTTCTTATGCATGTACAGCTAAAAATGCTTGGCATCAAATGTGGAATTTAAATGACATGTCTTTGCAATCTTCCTGAAAATGAAAGGTTTATGGATCACTTGGGAGAGTGGACAAAATAGACCTACTAAGGGCTTTTGATAGTCTATTAGGAACAGGAAGTAAAACATGGTTTGCATAGATAAAATCAACAAGGTCTTTTATGATTAAATAGTCAAACCTATTCCTGTGTAGCAGTTAAGCTTTTGGTTGTCTCTTTTTTTGTCCCCACCCACCCACTCCCAAAACCTCATTTTTGTTGATATTTAAAATAATAACCCTGATAATAGATTTGGCTATGGATACGGTGAAAGAGAATGCATCATACATTTGAAAATTTTATTCCAAAGCGCAGAGTCACAGCGGTAAACCTAGTGGCTCATAACTTAGAGACCGCAGGCTCATTGGGCGACAGACATTCTTACTAACCAATTGCCGGGGAGTCCGGAAAGAACTCTCTCTGGATTGGTCAAGGAAAGCCTCCTTTTAGCTTCGTTTAAGAATGGGCTTAGCTTGTGTGTCGGCCGGCCGCGCCTCTGGCCAATCAAAAAGCGACGAGGGGCGGGCTTTGTCGCAAAGTGGAGCCTATCCTGGAAGGTGAAACTCCGCCCATCAGACCTACCTACCGCGGACAGGGGGCGTGGCCTCCGGCCCAGCGATCCAGAGGATCCGGGACGCGCACGGAGTGGGCGGAGCCCGCGGGCTGGGCGGGGCCAGTGTTGTCAGCGGCGGAGCCGGATGCGGGCGGCGCCGTGGCCGCCGCGGCGCTGGGGATGGGAGGAGCCCCAGCCGCCAGCGCTGGTGGCCGCCGCCGCTGCGGAGCCGGAGCCAGAGCGGCCGCCTCTGCTCCCGCGCGACGCTGCTTCCTAGGGCGGCGGTATGCTGGGGAAAGGCGTAGTCGGCGGTGGCGGCGGCACCAAGGCGCCTAAGCCCTCTTTCGTGTCCTATGTGCGCCCCGAGGTGAGGGGGCGTCGCGCGGGCTGGGCGTCGGGTGGAGCGGCCGCGGCTGGGGCGCCGGGAGCTCCATCTGTGCGGTGCCGGCGTGGGCGCTGGGTGCCGGTGTGCGAGGGGGGATCTGGGCGGGCGAGGCTTTGGGGGGCGGGCGAGGCTTTGGGAGGCGTGCTGGGGCGTCCCCTCTGGCGCGGTGGCGACCCCGGCGCGGGCAGGCAGGTGCCCGAGGTGGGGCCCGGCTCGCGGGCCGGCAGGTGAAGTGCCGGAGTGGGGGTGGTGCGTGGCCCGGCGCGCCTCTGCCATCGCTGGAGAGGAACTGGGGTTCAGGGCTGCGCGGGAGCGGAGGCGGGGTGGTCCGGACCCGGTGAGGGCCGGCCGAGAGCCAGTCCCGCGGCTGAGTCTGCCCTGCCCTTGAAATTTCCCAGCGAGACTTGACACTGTCGGGTCCCTGCTGCTGCTTTTCAGTGTTGTTTGCTGCTGCAGGCGGGATACTGTGCGCAGCGGGGTGCACGCGGTGGGTCGGTCCTGGTCTCTACCTTTTTCTTATGAATTGTGCTCTGTCCTTCGCCGCGGGGCTCATTCCACCGCCCCGCCCCCCTTTTACTTCATCCCCCTCACCACTCTTGCTTTCCTCCTGGAATTTTACTGAGAAGTTCAATTCATTCATTTAGGAAATATTTGTTGAGCTCTTACTCTGTGCCAGGCACTGTTCAACACGCTTGAGATTATGCATCCGTGAGCAAAACAAAGATCCTTGCTCTCCTGGAGCTTATTGGAGGGAGAGAGGAGTAAACAATAGATAAGACGCATGTAAGTGATTAGATGGTATATTAAGTGTTAAGTGTCACAGGAAAGAAAAGGCACGCGTTTCCTCCTTGCTTCAGTGACATTTGTGCAAAGATGCTTGGGAAGAGTAGTACAGATAGAGGAAAGCATCTGGAATGTTGGAGGAACATCCAGGAAGCCCAGCCCTGCAGCAAAACCCTGTGGGTGAGGCAGAGTGATAGGATAGGCGAGGGGATTACCCAGGTAGGCCAGGGCTGCTTTGAGCTTTGGTCTCCCAGTCCCAGTGCCCAATTAGGTGTGTTTTCGTTTTGGATTCCTGCTTTGACTTTTCTTTCTCCTCCCTCTCTCCAACACCATCACAAGCTCTACCAAGTTGGTTGTCTCCACAAGTCTTCCCTCCTCCGTCTGTAAAGCAAAGGCAGGTGGGCTGTGGAAGAGCAATCTTGATCTGGAACTGCTTCTGCAAGACACTCAAGCACAGGAAACCTTTGCATATGTATCTTCGCATTCAGAACGTGTGTGTTTTCTTCCGTGGAGAGAATGCTTCAAATGGGTCTTATTTTTAGTCTTAATTTTAACCACTTCCTCTGTGGAGGCTTGATAAGGAGGCAGGGTCATTTTGAATTTTCAGCAAAAGTAAGTAATGTGGTCAGTTTCTCTTTGTTTTTTTGTGTTTGTTTGACTGAGTGTTGGTTGAAGTACAGCTAATCTTTAACCTTTCGTCTTCAGTGAGATTAAGCACAGAGTGGAGAGTCTTCTGAAAGGTGGCCAATGTTCAAGAATGTTCAGATTTTTCATCACCAAGTGCACATGTTGTAATTAGACTTGTTTTCGTGCTTTGCCCACAGTGCCTGGTGTATATCCTTTGAGGGATAGTTAGGGAAGGGGAGTGGTTCAGCCTGAAGTGGTCACATTTTTCAGATCCTTTTATTTTAGTTGGCAGTTTGTTCTCTTGCATTAAAATAATGCAAGGTAGGCACTGCTTCTTTGTTGTAATCTGTCTCTGAAAGTATTTTGTAACAGAGGTTAAGACTGTGATCTAAATTGTGGGTGGTTTTTAAAAGATAGGGGAATCACAGACTTTGAGGTGTAGCTATGTGCAGCTGAGCTGTGAGTCTGTTAACCTTCTCTTGACTCACTCCGAAGGAAGAGTCCCACAGCACCCTTCTGAAAATTGTCATTCTGTTCCTTCTTCCCCTCGTCTGGCCGTCAATTTTATTGCCTTGATGGTCTTGTTACAAGGCAGGGAGAAGGACACCCCTGAACCCCAAACCTGCCTGCTCTAAATAGTTTCTGCCACCCGCCACATCAAGATAAAACATATAAGGCCTTTAATGGAAAACAACTTTAATACAATCAGTGTGCAAAATAGCAAACATAAAGACTACACTTTCTTTTTTTTTTTTTTAAGATTTTTTTTTATTTATGCATACAGAACTGGGGTACAGGCCAGAGATGCGGAGGGTGAGAGAATTCACCAGGGACAGAGTGGGGAGCAGAGCAGGCAGATCGGGGAGCAGAACAGGCAGATCGACGAGGTACACTGCTGAGGGGAGCAGCAGGGTCAGGAGAGGTCTGCCGAGCCATGTGGTCACCTCCGGGGCAGGCGGGGATCGAACTCATGCGGAAGTGGCTTAAGCTTCTGCAGTGCATTAACCCGCTGCGCCACCAGGGAGGCCCAAGACTACACTTTCTAAATCAAACACCCGAAGTTACCCATCCCCTGATGGGTAAAAGTCCACCGAAAAGGGATTGGCCCAAAGCAAGGCCTGAAAGCTGCGCAAGACTAAAGCACCTTCTGGCCGGGACCCATGGGAAAAGGTCAGCAAGTCTAGGAGGAAAGGGGCTAACTCAAAATCAGGATAAACGCTGCCACACGGGTCTCTCACCCACATCTGTATCAACCAGTCCAGCACCAAGAAACAAGACGAAGCTTCTTCATATATCTCTCTGCTCCACGTGCCTCCCTCAGGTCTCCTCCTGGCTCTCCATCATGCTTCCATCCTCTTCAGTCTCCTCTCTAGATTCTTCTCCCTGCTCAGCTCCATCCTCCTCCTGGGTTGAGCAGGGAACCTGGAACCACCCCTTTTCCTGGGGGCCCCCTCTTACAGTCTGTCTTCCTTGAACTTTGAAAATACTTTGCTTTTGTTAGCTGGGAAATTCCAATTTCTCAGACTTCTTTTTTTTTTTCCTGGTAGATCTGGAACTGCCAGAACAACTATCACACCTTACAATGTGATGACACCTGTGGTGGCAATGTACCTGTTCTTGTCTGGTCAGATCTTGGAATGTTCTACAGCCGCTGCCCCTAGTACATCAGAGAGTCTAGCCAGAGTCAGCACTTTGTTAAAAGCAGAAGTGCTTAACTGGACGAAGTGTCTGAAGATGATGCTTTGAAACCAACTGACTTACTACTTTTTCATATGACCAGAAAGAATTGGCCTGGACAACCTAAAATTAGCATAGTAGTTAACTCCCTTACTTTTAAAAACTCTGGAACTTCTAACTTGGGCCCTTTTATCATTGATTCACCTAAAGTAGTGAATGTGAAAGTAAAAACTTTGAATTATGGGCCTTCTCTGGTGGTGTAGGGGTTAAATCTCAGTGCTACCATGCAATCAGCTCTGACACCTGAGTTCCCTGAGTTTGATCCCTGGCTAGGGAGCCACCCACATACAGTGCCACAGACCTCTCCTGTCTCCCTGCTGCTCCCCTCAGCGGTGTACTTCAGTAGATCTGCCTGTTCTGCTTTTCTGTCTCTGGTGAATCCTCTTACCCCTTCCATTCCCCCCATCGCCCCCCACCTCTGGCCTACATCCCAATTCTTTTTTTTTTTAAAGATTTATTTATTTGTGCATATAAAACTGGGATACAGGCCAGAGGCTCAGGGGCGGAGAGAGGCTTCACCGGAGACAAAGTGGAGAACAGAACAGGCAGATCAATGAAGTACACTGATGAGGGGAGCAGCGGGCGTCAGGAGAGGTCTGCCACGCCATGTGGTCTCCTCCGGGGCAGGCGGGGAATCGAACTCCTGAGGAAGCGGCTTTAGATTCTCAGTGCTGTGCTTTAACCCGCTGCGCCACCAGGGAGGGCCACACCCCAATTCTTTTATGCATAAACAAATAAATCTTTATGACACAAACAAACAAAAACGACCTTTAAGACCTTTGGGCATGTTTTGTGAGCTCTGCCTAGAGGATTAAAAATCATAAAGTGAGTGGGCAGCTGACTAGTGAGTGGGCAGCTGATGACTTTGGAAGGCAGACAGGAGGGAGACACATGGGGTTGTCCTGGGGTACCTGGACAGCACCCCTGTTCCAGTATAGTCCCAGGCGCAGGCTGCAAGGCTGTCCTCTGTGCAAGGGAACCACTGGGTATTGGGTTCTTCTGGGAGGCATTTGGTTGTAGTTGTGGGTACCAGGTTCTTTTTTCCTGTGAAATAAATCATGTGTCTAAGTTATTATTTCAGAAACCATAAGTTTTCATTATAGAAAAATAGGAGAATTTCACATATGCTAAAAAGTTTTTTAAAAGAAAATTCGTAGGCTTATTAATTTGGAGTGTGTCCTATCAGATATGTGTGTAGGTGTGTGTATATATGTGGTTGTTGGTTTTTTTTTTTTGTTTGTTTGTTTGTTTTTCTTTTTTGCCAAAATGGGATTCATATTGCTGAGCATATTTTGTAATCGGCCTTGTTCACCAGAAATATATATGTACATGCTTTTGCATGTCAGTTGTTAATCCATAATGTCGTTTTAAACTAGACCCTTCATTACAGGAACACACAATGGGAGAAGTTTCTTGAAGAGCCAAGGAAAGGGCCTTTAGACGCTTTTCTACTTAGTCACCTTCTTTGGTGCTGAGTGGTATTTTTGATCTTCAGGATTGTCAGTTTTCAGCTCATTTTACTGGAAGTTGTAAGCACTGTGATAAGAAATATTTGGTGTCTGAAATATTTGGTGTTTGTAAGTAAAGAACCATTAGGTGGTCCTAAGAGGAAGTTCCGATTTAATAAGACGCCTGTTCCATTGTGATAAGGGAGTTGAATTGAAGCTTCAAGGAGCGTGTGTGTTGGTCTCAGAAACTAAAGCCAGAAAAAATCCAACGTCTAGGGTCTGTTGTACTTTGTCCATATTTGTGTGGTATCCAGATACAGCTGACAAATTTTCTGGTAGTGTTAAGGTCAGTGTGTGACTTGAATGTACAACTGTTTATTCAGTACT